CGATAAGCAAAAAACATCGTAGAAATTTTCGAAATCTGGATTGCAATATGTTTGAGAGGGGAAGATAAATGCGACATAATAGAGAACTGTTGTTTCCAAAGAGGCATCAAGGATAATAACATTATTTTATTATGTCCTGTGAGGCATATCGAGTAAAAGATATCGGGTAATATCAAAACATTGATTTTATGTATTGGTTTCACTATATATACTCCATGGAAAAATGGTAATTATAATAATAATGCCCATAAACTATTGAAATTTAATATTATTTCGTTTCCTTTATCTCCTTAAAATATTTTGTTGTGACTGCAATTTCTTTCTAAAAATTGTGAATGAAATAGACTTTATTTCTTTGTAAAAAAAACTGAATAGGTAATAACACCCAACAATGCATTAATAAGAAGCTGAAAAGAAGAATATTCTTTGGGTATCGTACTTGATAAGAACTTCGTCTACTTATGCGAACTCTTTGACTTAGATCTTGATCCCGAAAGAAGCCTACAACTTTTATTATTGAAAGCTATCTAAAATATCATTCACGATGACAGAGATTTTGACATTGGATATTTTTTTCATCTCTTTAACAACTCAAGCTCCAACTGGAAATGAAACCCCGAATCTAAGGTAGACTCTTTTATCTGAACTTAACACCGTTCCCATTATTTTCGGCTAAATGGTAATATTTAAATAATTTCGATAATAAGATGAGGTACCAAGAGCAAATTCCTAGTTCGTGCAGCAATGTAAACCGGACGGAAAATAGCAACATATGGCAGCAGAGTGCTTTTATTTACAGCACTGTGCACTACTTCAACGCGCCATTTCGACGCACACATGCCATACAATATTTACTTCAGGTGTAGAATTTTATATTAATTAACCATTTATTACATTTTGAACCTTTACTTTAACTTTGAACCTTTACTTTCCGTAGTCCTCACTAAAATGCAAATTACTTATGCATTTAAGCCCAGGGATTGAATGTTTTAGACTCAGAGCTTCTGGAAACCTTGCATTGCAGTTACATACCTTCGCCAATTCTGCCAAAGTTTATTTCGGTTTCAGCTACTTTGCTAGTCGGCGTTTAATTACGCACCGTTATTTACTTGCATCAGCTTAAATGGTTTATTTTGTATGTAGCCTCAGACTACCAAAAAACAGTCAATAAAAAGATTGTTTGAAACTTTCCACAGCTTTGGTCTTCTTATTAGAGACTAAAGCGATAACTCCCTTGACAATCAAATAGGCCCATTAGGACATCGAATTAAGCTCCTATACAAGCCCTTCAGTGAACAGCTTACTCGAGGAAAATCTCGAAAGACACTCATACGAACTAAATATTCGAACCGGTTCGAGTCTGGAACAAATTATTAGTACTCATCAGTCTTAATCACTCTGTCACTGATGTTCTTTATCTGTAAAATAGAAGCGAGATTTAAAGCAATGCAATTGCTGCGCTGTTAAGAAAATGTAATGAAAGCTTTGTGTAATAAAATTAATTGTTTCAATGGGTATTAGTAATTAAAATTATTCTTTTCCCATTAGTATTTAAAATTATTTATATATTTTGAAAAAATTATATTAAAATTATCAAGTAAGTAATTTATAATATTAAAAATTAAAAAAATCCATCAAAATAAAAAAAATCTTGCCAAAATTATTTTAAATTGCTATGATAAGTATAATCAGAGTGCTTGGAAAAATTATAAGCATGTAAGGGGAAAATTAAAAAATAAATATGTCTGCGTAATTTTTTTAAAAAACATTTCAGGTAAAAAATACACTATTATTTGTGTTTATTGGGGTTTGGTTCAAATAGCAATAAAATTTACACATTCTTTAAACTCTTTTTCTGAGAAAAGTTTTTTGCTTTACTTTAATTGACAATTACATTCTCATTCTTTCAGCTAATAAGGCAAATTGTGAGCAGATATATGATATCATCAATTCTGTGTTAATGTTATTCATTCATATTATCTAACAGCTTTGCATATTACAGTACCACACTAGGTCCACTCCTACTATTTAATTATCTGCATTATGTTTTTAGCATTATCTTCACGTTATGTTTGAGACAATTCACTGAAATTATCATGGTTTGCTAAATTCTTACTGCCGATGTCATTTTTGGTCTCCTCCACCAAATTTCTGTGTTTAGTTACAGTGTATATTTGTAAGCTTTTGAAATTCTGAGCTTTATTAGTTTATATTTTCAAGCATTTGAACTTCAGAAATACTTTAAAGGTATCCAAGTTTATGACCTCTTTATTGAAAAAACTTTCTTTTTTTTAGGATATCAGGTATTAGTTCCCTCAGCCATGGATCAATATTAAAAAATTATTTTTTTAGGATATCAAGTATGAGTTTAATCAGCCATGGATCAATATTAAAAATTTAACTTCATTTGAAGTCTTGAAAATAAGAATATTTTACATTAAATCATATCTTCGATAATGTGAGTTTTTTTTTATCTGTTTCAGGTAATCAGCAAATATTATTGGGAAAAAATGCTCTACTGAGGGTTAATCAAGGGTTAATTGCTACGGTTAATCGAGGGTTAAGTGTCAAATAGACTGTTATTAATTATCGTACATTCTATGCCTACTCTCGTGATATAATTAGTGAGCACGTCCAGAAACCACTGCAGGAACAATCCTAGTTCGAATACCTATAAGATCAGAGTGGATTTTCTTCGTACCTGCTTCAAAAATGTTAACAGTTTTTACAGGTACAAATGCAAGGCAAGGACACTACATTTTCACATTTTCACCATTGATCAGATATAGGCTTACCGCACTTACTGCGTAGTTCCGCTTCCTACTCCCAAACAATCTCGAGAAGACTTTCGGCTCACCAGTATTTTAAGTTCCACATATTTAAGCACAGACACTATACACTTGTAACTCCCGAGTTAAAAAGGAACTAGATGATAACTCGTCACCAACTAGATTTGGCGAATTGGATAGCATGCTTCTTCCTAGTCGTCGTGTAAGCGTGAGAGGAAGGAGAGAATTGAAAGAAAAAAAAATGTATATATATATATTCTGCATATTTCTGTTACATCACAGCTTAGTATATTCAGTTAGTTAGTGGAAGGTATGCAGTTCAAATACCAAGAAATAAACAACTGATCCTTCTTCCCGTTTCCTACTTTGAATATCTTAATGGTTTCTGTAACAATATCTGAACTAATATGCGATGGATGACAGCACATTGCAACCTGGATTTGGTTAGCCGAGTTAGCCGTCAGTCACATATTAAATTCAGATTAATATAAGGAATTACCTCAATCCTTATTATTAAGGTGCGATTATTTTAATATCCAACTGACAAATGAAAGATCTGAGACTGAAATCCCGGCGAGGGACAACTGGTCTTTCATGTCTTCGCGTTTCAAAAAACCAGATGCAATTGTTATACTATTAATCCATGTGAATATTTCTTGAAAATTGATCTATTAACCACAGATAACTAACTGTAAATGCAAGATGAATTCACATGTACGACGAGAAATTTTTTTTACGTTTTTATGAGTATAAACACATCGAATTTGAATACCCTCTGTACATTCTTGGCTGCTAAAAGTGCTTTGCAAAAAGGATAAATAAATATGTAAAAATCATACTTTAAGTTAAAATTGAGTAAATATTTCTTTCGGAATACAAAATAAATAATTAAATGAGAATTAATATAACCTTTTATGCAATCATAGGAGTTTAAGATGCGAATATTCGAAAGGAAAATTTAAAGGGGTAAAAATCAATGTCTCAACTCGGATCCTACATAATAATGTCTTCAATCACGTTCTCACAACGATAATTTCCATATAAGGTAAACAAATAGACAAGAATATTCTCTATGTTTTGATTTATTAAACAGCAAATCTTCAACTGAAATATTTTGGTATCTATATTTTAACTCGAAAAGACTAAACTGTATATGTTTTAGCATACCACGCAAATACAAATTATATTCTATAACACGGAAAGATGAAGATGCATTTTTTCTTTCTTGCATCACTGTGTGCTGCTGACATCTGTTCGAAGAAACTTTTCTGCACCCACGTGACATCCAGTGCGCAGCGCGTGCGCCTTACACATTCGTAGTCCTGGCAACGGGATAATTTGGGAAACGTCACTCCTTACTTTAGGAAATGAACGGTGGGAGCACGTGGTACCATTTCATACCGCTCTCCGATCTTGTCCTGGAAGGGCATGAGAAGGAACGCGTCCCGTTGCTTCTGTCCTAACAAAATTACTGCAAGACTTCAATATAACGGCAATTAGTTCAAACTGATAAACTACTTTAATACAGTAACTCAATATTCGTGTTTTATTTATTTTCATATCTACTCTTCTGGTTTAACGAAATTTTTCACCAGAATTTACGGTTTTCAGAGGAATTATGTTATAAAATTTTATTGCAGAAAATACCTTTAATGCATTGGGATTAAAATTAGAGACAACGAAAAGTAATTTTTCTAAAAGGAAAGCAGATGGATGAGGAATATAATTTTCTGGTATGTAGAATTACTCTCAATTATTTGGTAAGATAATTTTGAAAGAAAACGTTTCATATTTGAAGTGTTTTTATTAAGTTGTATAGAGGAAAAGTTGCAAAAATAAGCTTAGAATTTGAGCACAAGCATGGAAATTTTTTTAACGTAAAATTGATTACATTCTTAGCGCAATATTTTTTTCGTTTCTTTGGCTAATCAATATTTATAGCATCAGTGTCAGTGAAAAATACATTTTCATTTTTCCAACATTTATACGAGGTAAACAGTATAGTAAAAAGGTTTTCGGAAGCAATTAAATGCGATAACAATAATCTATGTTCATTGTGCTACTGTTTCCTGTATCATTCAAAGGAAATGAACAAAACAACTACTGCTTTCCTCTCTTGCTCTTATTTAACAGAGAATTAATTGAAAAATGACATGCCGAGGTCACAACCGTAAGTTAAATTAATTTCCTTTATCTTATGAATGTGAAAAATGAATTATAATACCGTTTGATTGACCTTTGCCAGTTTTTTTAACTTGTCGTTAAACGTTTTAAGTTGCATTTGTGACTTATTAATTATTATAAGGAAGGCGACTGAAAACTATAAGTTTTTCTTTTAAATGTTATACGTGTTTTCGAATCAAACTTTGTATTTGGAAATAATTTGTATTTGCTTGAAGAACAGAGACTTTTTTGAATTTTTTAAAGGAATATATTTCATGGTAGAGTCGTTCATATATTTCAAAACTTGAAGTTAATGCTACTCAATGTATCTTCAGTGTTTGCATTTGTTGCACATAATATCCAGCTGTACATTTTCAAGCAAGATTTATAACTGTTTTTTTGTTTTGATAAATTATTCAAGGCAAATAATTTTAAGTATATAGATATTAAATATACTTTCCTAAAGCTTTTGATTTCATTTTATTCCTTCTTGCGAGATATTTGTTACTTGCACTTGCTTATGTCGCGATAAATGTACATTGGATAATTGTAGCTAAAAAAAGAATTTGTAATATGAATTAAATTTTTAAAAAATAACACTGGATCAGATATTTAAATTATATAAGTATTTTATTGACAGTAGAGGAATTAAAGTCCAAAATTTTATATACCGCATTATTAGATGAAAAATGTATATTGAAAAGAAAAGCATTTTGAACTCATCTGTTCTACCTATACTGTGAATAGATTTTATCTCTTGAAGGAGCTATTAGTAGCAGGTGTGGCAGCATCGTTAACCTTTAAGCTTTTGAGAAATATAGCTGAAATATAACCATGACAGAAGTGGTTGAGGAATTGTCCGTGGACGAAGTGGATCAGTGTGCCTTCGAACTGAACTTCAGCCACTACGAATTCCCCAATCCTACAGCCCTATCCGAGCCACTTATGTGGAAAGAATATATAAAAATTGTATTCTATGCGATAGTTTTGATTGTGGCACTGGCCGGAAATATCAGCGTTATATTAACTGTGGTACTCAACAGGTCCATGAGGACAACAATCAATCTTTATTTAGTGAATCTAGCGGTTGCAGATTTGCTCATCTGTCTCTGCTGCATGTGGGTTCCTCTTGCAAACAGCATCACAAAACCGATGTATTCTCTTGGAATTTTCGTCTGCAAGCTGAATCCTTTTGCACAAAGTAAGTCGTTTTGTTTCTTTATTTTTAATACCTGATTGATGGGACATGTTTTATGTTTTATTCGAAAACGGTATATGGTTATGATGAAGAATTTAGGTAACGTTTTGAATAATCATTTCAAACTTTTAGTCTGTATACGGATAGAGTTTCAAGAAAATACGAATGAGGTACAGAATATGAAAGGGATTTAGAAGATATATTTTTATGGTATTAGCAGTAACTGAAACATATTAAACATTAAAAGTAATTCAGTTGAGTCAGCAAATGAATTATTTTTAATTATTTATTTTATTATCAACTTAATATAGTCATTGCTTCAGTGCTCTTCGAATCACTATAAAATTAACAGTTACGTTTTCTACTTGCTATATTCTAATTCAAATTACAAACAACCCACTATATACCAAAAGGTATCTGTTACACATAATCCAGCGAGCTTCAGAGCCTAGGCCTGAAATAAGCCGCCGCTGGCACGTCTATCAGTATGACATTCAAATTACGCTTTCTTGGTATGCTAGATAGAATTCACCCTACGAAACAATTAAAAATGTAAATATTTAGCTTTTCGGATAGATCTTTTGTTTAATACGTGCTCCTATTATACAGAAGGAAATAACAGGGAAGAAAAAACCCGGTAATAATCAATTTCAGTAACAATGATAAATAATAAAAAAAAAGAAACCCAAATCCTGTTTTCGACACTCCTATTTCGGCGAATGAAGCTCATGAGAAATATAGGTTATAGAGACAACATTATTACATGATTCAAAAAAGCTGAGAGCATGGGTTAATATACATTTTTATTGGGGTTACGTTATTTTTGCCTAAAAATAAAATATCTATTTCTACTGTTTTTAAGCTCTTACATAATGCTTAAATTCAAATTCTTAAGTTTTTCTCCCTCCTTACCCCGCGCTTTCGGAGCGTAATTGGAAAGCACATCCGGCTAGCAATCGGAAATATCTGGAGTTTGAATCCTCACGAAGACACTGCACAGTTTTTACTTCTCCTGCTTCAAAGTAAATTGCCTAATGGTCTATTCAGTATTTTAGAACAATACATTCTTAGCTCTTCACAGGTAAAAATGTTCAACAATTAGTTCCAAGGTGTAATATAAATATTACCCCATTTAGGTTTTGCATTATTATCCAGGTAGCGAGCCGTTGGCGAAATTTCTTTACCAGGATTTAAATATATGTATATATATATATAAGATTTTGATTGATTTTGCGATTTTAATTATTCCTTAATCTATCTCATAATGTTCTAAATATTTGGAAGTATAAGTAGAATAATGTTTATATGAATAAGGTTTTTATAAATATAAAAAAGAGAAATATATATGCTTTAGTATACCAATAATGGAGGGCGCTAGTATGTCATTCAACGAATTCGTTTTTTTTTTTTTTTTTTTTTTTTTTTTTCCAAATTAAAAGACGATTAAACAACATAAAGGGTTTTGCATATTGTCGTTTGAATGATGTCGTTAGAGAGTCAAATGGGCGCAGTAATTCAGATTAATGTTCTTAAACAACTAATCGCTTAGATCTCCAGATATTATAACTTTCCACTACTTATTTTGGATCAACAGCCTAAACAAACTTTTAACACCCATTGCTGCTGCTTTAGAAACAATTACCACTGATATACTGAAAGGTATTTTGTAAGAATTTTCATATCCCCCTCACATTGTATGCGAAAGCCACTTACAAGATTTGTACATAAATCTTAGGTATTTATTCTTTACATCCCGGTTTTACTTATCATTCTCTCTTGCTGGTTTTTTTAATCATAAAAGTTGCATATCGGACTTTTTTTCTGATTTGCCCTGTATTTGTATGACGGTAGTTTAAGGAAGTTTACGAAAACCCCGTTTACAAAAAACTTTGACTACATCATTCAGTTTGTTGAATATTACAACGAAAGTGAGAAGACGAGGATGAAAAGATACAAGGCTTAAAGAACATTTAAATCGATGAACTTATATAAACTGTCGAATGATGGATGGTCATCATACCGTTTTTTCAAAAAAAGAGTGATGTAGATGATGAGGCTAGAGGTCAGCTTTTAGACTGCGATAACACGTGAATATGTATTGAGGCTATAAATCATAAGATCCTTGAAAATGTTTCGCATTTTAACAGAACTATTTTCATATATGACACCATTCTATCTATCTCTCTATCTTAAAATGACAGTCTGAGTCTTGCCCGTGTGCAATATGTTGCATATTTTAAAGCATATTGTTAATCCAGAAACTATACAGATTTGAGGAAGTGAATGCACAGCATATTTGAAATATCTTCAAAATCGTGAACCTCAGTCAGTGATTGTTTAAATATCCACTATTACACACATCCATCAATAAAATTCAAATCATAATTTCGAAATGGCCTGATGTAAATTCATGTGTCTCAATTAACAAAACAATAACTTTAGTAGAAGGAAATATGCAAATAAAAGCTGACACAGTGTTTTTATAATAGAAAAAAGTTGTAAATTTACATTTTCTGTCCTTTTCCATAAATAAAAAATTTAAAAAGTCCATACTTGTATTAACATTACAAAACTTTAAAAAATATGCAAATTTCTATTTTTTTTTTTAAATTATTTATTTGTTTTTTTAAGAATTTCTTTCTGCTCTCATTTATTTATTTATTTTCCCTAATTCTTCATCACATAATAAATTTTAATTTTAAGGATACTACTAGTTTCTTGCAACTCTTATTTAAAACTACCTCACAACCTCATTAAATTAGTTTTTCTTCTCATCACGTTTTCTCAGATAATAGTTTTCTCGGAGTAGAGCTATAGCATCGTGAATGCAGGTATTTAAAATTCTAGGTATGTTTATATGTGCCTACTGTTCCTTGCATTCTCCACAATTACTCAGCAGTAACAAATAATTGTTATCTAAAAATAGACTAAACAAACATGGTAACTCTAAACCAACTCATTAAGCTCGATATTTCTGTCCTACAAAGCACAGCAATCGTGAGTTACTTCTGTATTTGCATTCTCGTGTACGATGCGGAGTTTTCGGCAGGGAAGGGTAAATTTTATTCTCGAAAAAAAATGTAATTAAAAAATAATGTAATTACAAAAAAATCTAATGTAATGTGTATCTTACTTGCATACGCATTTCATGTAACATTTAAAAAACATTCTATCTAATATGTAAGAATTTTTCGGGCTAAAATTCTTTCTTTCTAGATACCACTGTGCAAATATAAGTATTTCTGTGACTGTAATAAAGGAAACGTATTTGAACACTATTTGCAGAGGAACAATTTTGACAAATAACAACTTATTTCTTATTTCTAGGCTTTCGTAAGGCATTGTCTTTGAATATATACTATGCTTAAGGAGATGACGTTTTAGCTGACAGATTTCACAGTGAGATATGGAATACTAAATAAAAACTGTCATGGCTTTCTAAAACTAGGCGAAATAAATCATAACATCGCAGTATGGCTGTACTGCCGATGTTACAATATTGAATATTTTTGCTGTTACCATTGAGTGCATTTTCTAAGTTGTTTTCCGATGTTTCACACTAAAGAAGAATGGCGTATGTGAAAGAAATAATACATAAAAATTGCAATTCATAAAACCAATTTATTTTAATATTCAAACTCCCCAAAGAGTGATTTTGCATATTTATGGTTGTGACCATGACGCCGAAAATGTTTATCATCCATTTGAAAATTCAGTTGCTCTTTAAAATAAAATACATTTAAAAGAGTTTTTTATGCAATAAAATTTTATTCAAAATGGATATTATAATTAATGGACTGAAAGAAGAAAGATAACTTACCATATACAGTTCGATGGAAATAAATTATTAAATATTTTTTTACGGAAGTCATCTACATTTTTATACGGCGATTAATAAACGCGTGGAATGCTTACGATAAATTTAAAAAAAGATAACGGCTTACACATGTGACAATACAATTAAATTATTAGATTTCGTTAATTAGATGTCTCATGCTTTAATTATACCTGTATAAATTGGTGGATCAGTTCTGTAAATAGAGTAATTTAATCTATTATACTTATTAAATTATATGACAAGTTATTTTTTCCTTTTAATACATTTATTATCGTATCCAATTTAAATAAATTTTATTGTAAAAACTTTTTTTAATTGCATTTTAATTTTTTAACTCAATTACACATCATCAATCAGGAACGTTTTGGTCCTTATTAAAATAAAAGCAATAAATTGTAATAAAATTATGAAATAAATAAAAGTAACTGAACCTCATTCAAAGAATGAAGAAATCGTTTCAAATATTCAAATATGTTGCTTCAAATATGTTGGATTTAGATATTAAGATTCTAAAGCAATAAAGCTGTACGAGGTTAGCTTATAACCTAATGCACATGTTCGTACATTCGAAGTATGCACAACATGTCTGCAAAGTTCAAGAAGGGAAACAAGCTCGCATTCATTGTGCACAGAAAACTAAATAAAATAAAACGAGCCATGCGCCCACCTCTTTCTATCTGGGCTCAACATTCAGAGCTCTTAACCACTCAGCCACTGCTATAGTGACATGGCATGAGAATAATAATGTATTTCTAACGTTTCAAAACTTATAATTTATTTATATAAAATTTCTTTCGATATACACATTGTAACAACATTTTAAGTTAAAGAATATTACACACGAGTAAATCTCAAACGAATATCTCTGAATAACATTTAAGGGGGGAATCAAACTCGAATTATTGTGATTTATTTATTAGAAACCAGTTCCTCAAGGCAAGTTGAAAATGGCGTCAAAAACTGCAAAAATCGAAATGAAATATCTCATTTAATTTTTGTTGGATGAGAATCAAATGTTTTGTGCTTAATTTTTTATAATGAATACAGCAATTTCTTCAATATAAGCATTATGATCGGAGTGTTGGGAAATTTGCTTTTACCACTTCAGTGTAAAATTCAATGTTATACTGTAGTTTCGCCGTAGCAGCTAAGAATGATGTACATG